AAGTGAAACAATTGAAGAAGAAAATCAAGCAACAGCAAAAAGTTCTCAATTGTATAATGAAATTAGGGGCACTGATGTGTTTTGTTATTGTGATTGTAATGATGAAATGAATTATTGTATTTGCAATGAAATGTAATAAAGAGGGAAATTTGAAATCATGTCCATATTATATAAGCTTCCTGTATATATATATATATATATATATATATATATATATATATATATATATATATATATATATAAGCTTCTTGTTCATACTCATGAGCTTACTGTTCAAAACATGAGCTTACTGTTTGCATCAGTTTCCCAAAAATATTACATGGACATGTCAAAATAAACTAGATAACACAGCATACACTACACTGATTATGTTCAAAAGATTACATGGACTTTTCCGGCTGTGGATTCAAAAGGGGAGTTGATGTCCATTCATGCTACTGCTCTGTTTGATGTGCTTGCTTCAGTTGTAGGGGTTTTTTTCCTAGACACACAAGTCAACATGTTGTGCCGCAACTCACCACATAAGCTGCACTTAACAGTCGAAAGCCTCTTCCCTCTCCTAGCTTCATTTAGGCCTCTTCTTCTTTGTTTTTTTTGTCTTCCTGCAGATCTTTTCACCAATTGTGGTAATATGTCAGGTAGGTTGACTAATGTCCATTGACTTGGGTCAGACATTGGGTGCATATGCTCGGCATAAGTAAGCTTGTATGCCTTCCCTTTGAAACAAGGAGCTACAAAGTCTGTAGGTTGTAGCCTATATGATAAATAACCCTTAGCACATGTTGCAAGGGATTCTTGAATGTTGCCACTTCCCACATCCACAAGTGCCTCTTCTAAGTTTGATGGGAAAATGCACATGTTGGTCTCTCACCTCAAATTCATCACCACCACATGGGGTTGCATAGAATAGCCTAGACTCAGCTGATCTTGCTTACAGAATCTTTGTTGCATAGTCAGTCAGGTCCATATCCCCCATGCCTATAGCTTTGTCAAACCTTGAGCCAATCCTCTTCATTGCCCACTGCCTTATAGCTGCTATACAACATTCACATAAAAATGTAAAATCAGAGAATGCATGTGTTAATACAAGTAATTCTGTGTTGATGTGGTTACCTTCAAGTAATTTCAGAACAGGTAGATCTCTATAGGGTTGTGTGCATGAGTTGAAAGACTTTACAAAATTTGTTGTGTTATGATCACAACACAGTGCTGTAATCCCCCGTATTTTTAAATATGTTATAAATGAAATTTAATTTTATTTATAATATTGTTTTGTATTTTTCCGTAATTTAATTTCAAAATATTCAAATTATTAATTAGGGTCAAAAATTATTTTGGTACAAATCATTTTATGAACCTTCATTTTATAATTTATCTCAATACAACTAAAGTTTAGTCTATTTCATTCATTTGGCCCATTAATTTTATGAGGCCTAATCTTTCTCTTTACCCTACAACATTCTCCCCTATAAATACCCCATTAATCCCCAAAATTTTCCCACACAAAAAGGTTAGTCTTATTTTCTCCTTTGTTTTATTAATTTGTGTAATTATAATTATTGATTTATGGGTTTTGATTTTATTGTTTGAAATTAATTTAATTAGTCTCAAATTGTATTTTGATGATTAAACTTTATAATTCAGATTTTGTAAATTTTATAACCTAGGGTTTTTAATTATTGAAAATCATGATTTTAGGGTTTTATGAACAATTGATTTAGGGCTTTTATAGTAATGATGTTTTGAATTTTTTTTTATTATAACTAATGATTAGTTTAACTTAATTCCAGATTATTTTGAACACTTAAATTCAGGTTTTAATTTTAAGATTTCCGTTCATTAATATTAATCCCGTTGTAATCCCGATCAGGTTCTGAACTCATCCGATTTTGATAAAAAAAAATAGTAGCGTTTTTCATGAGGAAACAACGTTTTAAGAAGGACTCACTACCTTTGGTAGTGAGCACCACCATCTCATGGCCAAATTCAGCCTCTAAATATGATTTTCGTGCAATTTTTAATTTTAACAAAGTTTTTTTCATACTTAAAATATTATCCTTGAGTTTGATTGATAAAATTAATTATGTTTAAAGTTAATTAAGCATAAATATATGTTTTATTAAATTTTTAAGTGCTAGAAATAGTTCCTAAGTACTACTTTTGATGTTTTATAAAGAGGGTTTAATCCCCCATTAAAAAGGGAGATTATTAGGGGTTTTTAAATAATTTTTAGATTTATATTAAACTTTAAACTTGCTGTAATTTCATGTACAAGAGTGTATTTGAAGGTTTTTATGAAGAAAATTTAAAGAACTATATATAAGCCTTTAATTTTAACTAAAGAGAAGGTTTTAAAGTGTTGTTTGATTTGGATTTTGAAGGTTTTAAAGTAGGAAAATTTTCCATGAATAATACCACCTTTTACCGGTCTTCCAATAATAGAACCACCTTTGGATTATCTCAAAATAACACGACCTTTGACATACATCTTCTATAAATAGAACAAAAAACCGGTAACCCATTTTATAGGTTACATTGGACACGTGTCGCGTTGTAATTTGTTAATTTTTTTTAATAAAAAAACCTAAAATTTAAATAAAAAAAAACCATCTTCCTGTTCAGCAGCCCCCCCACCTCCACTTCCCCTTCCCCCTCCCCCGGCCTCCCCGTTCAAATCCTCCCCTGTCAGCCTACCATTCACCGAGAACAACCCCGACCCCCTTCACAGCCTCACCCTCAAAACTGCCCTCCCTTCCACCCCCACACTCGAACAACCACGTATCCCCACCCACACCCTCGAAACCGCCTCAAAGCCACCGCTTAGCCCTCAAAATCACCGACCTTCCCTTGAAAACGCCTCAAAACCACTACTCTGCCCTTGAAATCGCCTCCAAAACCATTTCCCTCACTTGCTAGAAAATTGAGAAAGATCAAAACCTTTTCCCCCACCTGCCGAAAAAGAGAGAGAGATCAAAACCCTATCCCCTACCAACTGAAAAAGAAAGAGAAATCTTGCGTGAAGGGGAGGGGGTGTCGAAATCTGGGTAGGGAAGGGAGGGGGTTCAGAATCGGGGACGGGGTAGGGAAGGGGGACCGAAATCGAGGACGGTGTAGGGAGACCGGAATCGAGGACGGGGGGGGCAAAAAACGCGGATGAGGACGAGACGGGGGAAGAGAGGGGGGCCCCACGCTGGTGGTTTCCGATTAGGGGGCTTTTTAAAAAAATGAAAATTGATGATAAAAAAAAATAGACTAATCACATTGTGACACGTGTCACAAGTAACCTATTAAACAGGTTACAAACAGGTCACGTTCTATTTATAGAAGATGTGTGTCAAAGGTCGTGTTATTTTGAGATAATCTAAAGGTGGTTCCATTATTGGAAGACCGATGAAAGGTGGTATTATTCTTGGCAAATTTTCCTTTAAAGTAAGTTAGTATTGCTGTAAATTTGATTGATTGGGTATTGATTGAGATGTTATTATTTGGTTTAGGAGAGGAGTTTATTGAAGGTGATTTTTAGATAGTAAAGTGGCATACCAATTCGTTTGCTCAAGGTACGTACAAGTTACGAAACCTTGCTTGTAGGTGCATGTTTAAGGACGGATCGAGAACTTAGTATCATGTATAGGGATGACTGGGTTAAATTGTTTGGTTATACATTGTGAATTTCATATGATGTGCACTATTTTATATTGCAAGTATTATTTGTGCTCTAGTTATGCAAGGTGCGCTTAGAGGCAAAGGTATGCAATTGGTGTAAAGATTAATTTATTACTCATTCATGATTATGCAAACAGGATGAGTAAAGGAAGAATTCAAGTCTTATAAGACGAGGTTAAGGTTTTGGGGTGCCTTATGCACTCAAGGTGTTTATACACCGAGGTAGTTAAAGGAATAAATAATAAATTATGCTTGTCACTAATAAATCAAAAATTGAAATTGAAAAGTAGTTTTACTTTATTGAATTGATATTGGATTGATTGTATTGTTTGCATATGAGTCATCACCAAGTCTAAACCTGTAAATCACGTAAAGTGTAAGATGGATGAGCAATAAAACTCTGGATTGGTGCACTTCTGGAGTAATGACAATTAGGGGTTGGGGTACATGGGGTATTAGCCGTGTACTTTTACCGAGGTCGTCTGATCTACGAGTCTCCTATTTCAAATATTATTTTTTAAAACTAGGAGTTAGGTGAGATCTCATACTAACTACGATCATGGAGTCGCGCCCGTGGTCGTTGGATGTTTATTGTTGTTTCAGAAAGGAGGCATGGGGTTTTTCTTTTATTGATGTTCCAAATGGGACATGGGTTGGACAACCTTGTCTGTTGCTAAATCCAATGAAATAAATAAATAGTTAGTTAATATCAACTAGTGAAGTCTTAATAAATTTGATAGTTGAGTTATGTGTTGAGTCTATAATATAATGATGCTTATGCTTGTTTATTATTAGTAGCAAGATAGGTATTTCTTAATTTATTTCGCAGCTTGTATGTACTCAGCTTTGCTGATTGCGTGCTTTTGTGTGTGCTTTTCTTTGGTCATGGCCTTCGTCTTTCAATAACCCTGTAATGATCCAATCTTTACACTTGTAATATTGGGGAGCAGACCATCACAGGTGTTTACATAGTTTGGACTTGCATCAAGGTGGTGGGATTTTGAGTGGAGTGTTGATTACTATTCACAGTGTACTTTATTTCTTACTTTTGAATTTATTTAAACTCTGGTTTTATTTATTTACTACTTTTGTGGGGTTTTGAATAAGGGCCTTAATGGTTCCAAGTTGTAAGATTTAATTTGGTTTTGGTTATTGGTTTTAAAATTTATTTATAACTGATTTAGTTTTTCCGCTGCTAATTTCTGATAAAGCCTTAACGTTTGAACACGTGGCGGTAGCACGCCAGTAATTCTCTTGGATTTTGTTCAGGGTATTCACAGGTTTTAAAGAGAGAATTATTGGGGTGTGACAAGTGCGGTATCAAACGTATGCCTAGACTAGACCTTAGTGCAACTCTCTAAGTATTCAACAGCCTTAGGATTGTATTCAAGTATTTTCTTCATTGCTTTGTTGATGAATACATACTCATTGTATGCATCAGCTGCAATCCAGAAAAGCTTATGGAAGGCTGAACTACTAAATCCTTTGGCCTTACAATTTGTGTACAAGTGCTGGCAACACACTCTTCTAGTAGCTCTGGGGAATGTGTCATGAATTGCTGTGTCAACACCCTCCAAGCAAAGCCATCAGTTAATACATTTGTTAATACAAGTAAATTTGATTTTATAAAGTGTTTTCAAAGGTGGCTTATCTTCATTCTGTCAGAGATGAAAGTCCAATCATCTATACTTCAGCCTTCCTTCTCAAGTAGGATTTTCAAATTCCTTAGGAAATAACCCCAGCTGTCAATGCTCTCAGTGCCAACCACTCCATAAGCAATGAGAAAAATCTCATTGTTCCCATCTATCCCAACTGTAGTAAGCAAGATTCCTTGAAATTCCCACTTAAGTGAGCTCCATCAATACCAATTATGGGTCTACAGCTCCTCAAGAATCCCCTACATTGGGCAGCAAAAGAAAAAAACAAGCCTTGAATCTTGGTGGCTCATTTGCATTTGATTCATCCCAACTGACCAAAGCATAACTACTTGGGTTTGTCTCCTTCACCATGTCAGCATACTTAGGTAATAGTGAGTATGCCTCTCCAAAACCCCCATGAATCCTCTCCTTGCACATTGCCTTCACCTTGTAAAAGAGCCTTTTTTTAACTTCAATCCTAAACCTTTCCATATAGAGTCTTTGTAAAGACTCAATTGGAATGTCAGGATTTGCCAGAATGTCTGACTGCAGATGTCTACACAGCCACTCAGATGTTACAGCTGGGTTAATCTCCAGCCTTCCACAACTTCTATGCTCCCCTTTCCAATTCTTGATTGGCCAGCTGACCTTGTCTATTATGGTGGAGGCATGAATTCTCCAGTTACAACCATCTAAAGCACACCTTGAAATGTATCTTGTTTTGTCAGTCTTATCAACATAAACACCAAATCCTTCTTGTATGCAGTAGTCTTTGAAAACTTCCATAAATGATTCCCTGTCTCCAAATATCAACCATGGCTCATGTCTGATAGCTCCAAACTCTTGATATGTCCATATTTTACCATTCCTGTAGGTCTTATCCATGGTTGAACTGACATCAAGATAATCCTCAAACTGCTTATCAGGAATGTCATCATGGAGACAATCTATTTCTGTCTCCTCCTCTATGAAGTCACCAATGTCTGCTTCATAATCATCTTCAGCTTCCTCGCTGTCAGATTGTATGTAATCATCATCTTCGCTATCACTCCCAGACTCATCAAACCTCTCCTCTATTTCAGGTGCTCTGTTCCTTGCTAAATCCCTTGGACCTAAATCCCTCATGTCTAGATCTGCCTCCCTTTTTAGGTTTAGAGCTGCTAGCTGCTACAAAAGATTCAGGTGGACAGGTTGTTTGTGGTTGATTTGAAAATGGTGGTTGAGGTGGTGGGGCTGTTTGTGGTTGAGGGGAGGGTGGTTGAGGTGGTGGGGTTGTTTCTGGTTCAGGGTAGGGTGGTTGAGGTGGTGGGGTTGTTTGTGGTTGAGGGGAGGGTTGGGTTTTTTTGGGTGTTTTTTTTCCTTTTCTTTGGAGTCATTTTCCTCTTTGGACATGAGATTTTGGGCTAGTTCAGAGGAGAATTTGGTTGAGAGTGTTTAGGTGGAGTTGAGGATTGAGGGTTAAGTAGTTTGTTTAGGCTGAGACAAGATGCCCCAAGGAAAACCTCATCAGCTTCTTGGGTGCCAAACACTCTAACATACTTATGATCACCCCGATCAACATTAGCAACAGGAACCTCAACTGCAACTTTAAAAGGTTGTTGTTCCTCGCCTTTTCCTCTTCCAACCTAGCCTTCTCAGCCATGGCCTTAACCCTTCTTTGCCAATTACCCAAAACATCCTTAAACACTTTCTTATTAGGAGTTTGTTCTTCCTCTAGGTAAATTACTATTGTTTCCTTACCTTGAAACCACTCCCACATTTTCAGCATTTCCCTATTCCCACTTTATTCTAACTTCCTATTAGTTCTAGGTGACATAACATACAAACTAAAGCATTTGGAAAGGATCACATTTTGGTTAACAGAGTCCTCAAATATAAACTCATACAAGTCCATTAGACTTGTTCTATCAGTATCATCAACCAGTACATCAAACCCCTGATCTCTGTAATGGACATCAAGCCACACTCTACTCATCCTATCAACAACAAAAGGCAGACATATTGCTTTACTGAACATCAACACACATGATTCATATAAACAACCACATACCAAAGCCTAATATACGAATACAAAAATTGCAAAAAAAAAAAAAAAAAAGGAAGTCAAACACTTCACAATCACAAACCATAACAATGCCAAAATCAATACCAACAAATAACAACTTTTAACATGAAATTTAAGATTAAACACACAAGTCAAGTAAAGTAGTCACATTTAGATAAAAATTTCTGAAAAACCCTCACCCTAACTCAATTTTCGCTAAAAATGACAGATTCAAAACGCGAAATGAAGATCGAAAGTGCGATTATTACCTTGCTTGCTATCTCCAACACCCCAAAGCCAAATTCAAGTGCGTTTTTCTTCTACTTCATCCCCTACTTTGTCAAGGATGTTCTGGTTCGCCCAACTTCAACACCAAAAAATGATTCAATTTTTAGGAGTGTTTTGTTCAAGTGTTCAACAAAGCTTCTTGTTTGATTATGGGTTACTGGGTTTGAATGATGGTGAAAGGTCGAAGAATAGAGAAGAACAATGAGGGAGGGGAATTTTTCATCTAAGTTGAAGAAGTCAAAGAGTCAATGAGCTTTAACGCGCCATTAACCCCAATAAAGGGCATAAGAGCATACTGGTCATTTCACAGTAATGGCCAACTAACGTCCAAACCTCATTAATGACACGTCATGTCATTGTACTATTTGTTAGTGGAATTTGGTGAATTATGAAAAGTCCGATGGCATTTGGTGAATTTCAAAGTTCTCAATGGCATTTGGTGAAATAGCCGTAAATTATAAGAGGAAAGGTTCATAAAAATTTCTTTGAAATAAAATCATTTATCAACCCAAAAATAATTTTAAATTGAAATCGAATTTCGGAAAAATACAATGAAATATTATAAATAAAATAAAATTTCATTTATAAAATATTAAAAATTCAGGGGATTACAATTTTAGGATAAAATTGATAGATTAAATTTTATTTTCGATAAAATACCAATATTTCATATGTACAAATTGAATTATAATTTTTTTCAAAAAAATTATTAGATTATAATTTACAAAAATTATCATATAAACTTATTTTTTATATCATAATATTTTTTGCAGCGAAAGAAGTAGTTCAAAGCGTAAAATATCCATTTATAATATATACCGGTTAAAAAAATATACTTCACAATCTAATTGAATTTTATTACTATGTAGCTCTGTCAATTAGGGTCGAGTCATGAGTCATCTCGAATTGAGTCATTTCAGGTTACGAGTCACAAAACGTTTAACCCTTGCCCAAATTTTTGGGTTCGGGTCAGGTCAACCCAACGGACTTTTAACATTTATTTTATTTTATTTATTTATTGCTATTTTTTTATGTATTAAATCGTTCCACCAATTCCTACTAGATATCAATCGTCACAACAACACTTCAATTCCTAACTAATTTTGTATCAATGATATATTTTAAAATTTGACATAAATTAAAAATTTATAATATTATTAAAACTCAAGGGAACAACATGATCACACCATGTGTCACCCTTCCCATTCCCATAACATGACTAGGCAACACATGTGTGTGAGGTGGCATCCTACATGTCACGTCTTTCCCCAATATGAATTGATTCCATCAGCTTTAATTAAAAATAAAAAATAAACTCTTGGTATGAATAATCCCCAAATTTAATTCTATAACATTAATTCTCTATAATAATGTTTAATTTTCATCAAAGACTCTTCGTATGCATAACCTCCAGATTTAAATTTGACATGCTTATTTTAAGTATATATTAACGAAAGATCATATAGATTATTACTCTGTATATATTTCACTCACTTATTAATAATCCGTATTGTTTAACAGTAATCCTTTTTATTAATTTTGATCAAACTTAATTATAAATTTACGATGTATCGAGGCATTGCCCAGGCCAATAACTAGTTTATCTTAAAATTCAATAAACAACCCACGCATCACACGGGTACAAAATTAGTTACGGAGTATTAATTAAAGGAAAAGATTAAAGGAAAAGAAAACAGGGCCTTATGTTGGAATACCCGTTCATTTAATGGGGAAACAGTAGGGGGTATTGTATTAGATATATTTGCCTTACGTGCAAGGCATGCACCCTTGACTAGTGCAAGGTTGAGAATCTTGAGATATAGAGTAGTTTAGATTTGTAACTGTAAAGTTTCCAAAAAAATTCAAAGGGAAATATGAAGGTGAAAATACAGTCATTTACATGATTCAAATTCCTTGTGTATTTACTTGTATAATATATATACAATTATGATTTAATAATTCTACAACTACTGTAACAAGTATTTACAGAACAATATCTAAATGTTACTCTATAGGACAGCTCGAGTGCATCCCCATTTCCCCTCCCCAAGACCCCACAATCAGAACAAGTTGTCAGTACTGTGAATGCCTCATCAAAAACAAGTGAGCAGCTTCTGTTAGCCTAATTGCTGAGCGATATAGTGTACACGTGTAAGACTCTATTAGCGTTCTTCCAAAAACAGGCCAGCATGGGTATTGCTGATACAACACAAATGACAGTTTAGAGCCGAGTAAACATCCAGCTAAAAAGATCACTCATCAGAGTCTGATCTATGTCCAAAAGAATCAAAACCGATTCTCCCAACATCTAATCGGGTTTGGTGTATTCGAGTAACATGTGTGGTGATCTATAGATTTTCACCAAGGTCCAGTAAAGGACTTCCTCCACTCCCAGTTCACCTTCTGCTCTTGCAGCATATATGTCCTCACAAATAGCAATCAACCTGTACCAACCAGAATAATATGTAAGCTTTGATTTCAGTATTATATATGCAAAATGTTACTCTCACCAGCAGAAATAGTCATTATATTGTCCTAAATCCTCATAATTAAGGATACAACGAGTTTACAAATTGACCTTAAGCAGCCAGATTTCAATGCTCTCCCCTTCACTTAAGCTAAGAAGTGTCATAATCAATGATATAATCATAAACAATCTCTAAACTATGAAACAACATTCTTCTCCACAACCTTAAGATACAAATATGATACTCTGTATTACTTGTTCTGAATTAAGGGAGCATATGACATCTCATTAACCAAACTAGTATGCGGTGGGGGGGGGGGGGGGGGGGGGTTTGGGCGGGGGGGGGGGGGGGGGGGGGGGGGGGCGGGGAGTCCACAAAGAAATTTAAAAAAATCAATGCAAATTAATTTTTTTTTTAAACAAACCCATCTCCTAAGGGAATGTGGAATCAATCCAGGCTTTACCAGGAAACTTGGATACAAAGTGTGAACCCGAGAGTAAGACTTATTGATTTTCATGGGCTTTTTTCTGCTAGAAAGCCTAAAAAAGGTGATCCCGTGAAAAAAAAAAAAAAAAAAAGGTCAATCAGCCTAGCCCAATCCCTGGTCTCTATTTTGGTGCCATAGCAACTGTAGATGACTAAAAAAAGATTAGGTTCCAAGCCCTAGAATTGGAGACTGGCCCAGAGACAGAACGTGCCCATCAATTAAATCAACTAAAGCGATATTCTTAAGAATACTCTCCATTCGCGCCAATATATGTAATCCTTAGACGAAAATTAAAATTCTCTTATTCGAAATACTATTTCAACTAAGTGCTAGACCAATGATTCACTTTTGTTCCATAAACAATACATGCACTGGTGGATCTACGTTGAGACCCGGGGGGGGGGGGGGGGGCACGTGCTACCCCCAGAAAAAGAAAAAGAAAAAATATATATAAAATAAATTGAAAAAGGCCTCCTTTTAAATACAATATAAAAATTAAACAATTCATATAATTCAAGATGAGTAACGTTACTTCAGCAGTAACATTGTAGGTGAATTAAGGTTTCCTTGGTGCTGAGGGGTCAGCGGTTCGGATCTCTACAATTACACTTCCTTTTTAGTTCTTTTTTTTTCTTTTTTTTTTCAGAGAAATTTTTAGTTCATTTTTAAGTCTTTGTTTTTTTTTTATTTTGTTATTATTATTTTTTTTCCCCAATTAATTTCTTTCTCGACATTAATATTCAAATAGATTAGATAAAAGTAACTCCAACAAAAAATATTTGTTAACAAAAATAATAGTATTTAGATAACTAGTATGATGTACATAATTTATCACGGC